AGTGTATTTCCATTTCACTTTTAACAAGTACATAATATATCATTATATGAATGAATCATAATTAATTTCTTATTTAGTATTTCTCATTTTCCTCTTCTTAAAGATATTGTTATATATCACTGAGCACTGATCTTTATGTAGTTTTCTAATCTCTTTAAAACTATTTCCTATTAATAATAGCTAATAATTCTTAGATTGTAATTACTGATATCAAAGTATACACATTTTGATGTATGTACTATTATGTTAATATGTTGCTATGTTGTCTACCAGAAAGGTTATATGAATAATAATTTTTGTAATTATTTTTCTCATATCCTCCCTGTACTATTATTATTTTAATTGTTGATTTGATAGGGGAAAATATCTCTACCTTCTATTAATATGAAATATATATAATAATTTTAATTTGTACTAGTTTGCAAATGAGCTGAATGTATTTTCATGTTAATTAATTCTTTTCTCCAATTTTCTGATTATGACCTTTGCCTATTTTGTGAAGTGAGTTTTCTTAATTACCCTAGAATAGAAGGAACTATTTACAACATGTATTAGTTTTATATAGCTCATTTTGATCAATAATGACCTTCTTTACCCCTTGATAGTTCTCTTCTTACGTGATTAGTATTGGTAGTTTGTTATTTCATTTTATACGTATCATTTTTCATTTGAGAGTTTATTTCTGTTTTGAAACATCTAAAATAATTTATGTCTTAGTTTTCATGTTTTATATAGTTTTGAATGTCTGAAATTCTAAAACACACAATCCCCACATATTTGGTTGCTTCCTTCTGTTTGGAGTTATATCATTGTAATACTCTTAATTACTGTATTTGCTGTGGGCATTTCTGGGTAAAGAGCAAGAAAAATGTCTCAAGTATTTGTACTTATTAGGCGATAAGGACAAAATGATCTTTATGGTTTACAACCAAACCAGAATTTTCAAGGCGTCATTTTAACACCCAAATTTATTTACTAATTTACAGAATGAGAGATTTATTAATGGTTTTGAACTTTTATTTTTGAATAATTTTTTGAGTTTATTTTACATGAACTTCATTTTCAAAACCCCTTCAAATCGAAGGATTCCAAATTTAGATTGGCTTCTGAGGGAGAGTATTGCATTGAAGAAAATATGAAAAGACTTAAATAGTATCTACTATTGATAAAATTTTTGCCTAAGATATTCTTGAATGTCTTTTTTTAGTATATGAGTGAGTTAAAGAAATTGATGATTTTACTAGGTAACCCAAATTACTGGATTTAGCAGAATTTGATAGTCTCTGATAGAGACAATGCTTGTGTTTTCCATTATTTGTAGTCCTGTGGTTTTCTGCCAGAAAAATAATGGCACATGTCCAGCTTGACCTTCAGATTTTTGCAAATTAGCATAGAGCAACTTAGAGTACTTGTGATTATCATCATAATTTGTTTATTTTCAGTAATGGACAGTTGATATTGTCAAATTTTTTTTGTTACATAAATTCAACAATTTTGATCACATCTAATGCTTAAATTTGCTCATTTAAAGTAAGTAAATATTTCTAATTTTATAGAACAGGGAAATGATTGCACAGTTAAAGGACTTTAGTTCATTTTTAGTTTAAATTCTAGTTAATAATTGTCAACTTAAAAAGAGGGCATCATAATAATTTCAATTCCTATATTTTTCTGATTTTCTTATTTCAAGGAGTTGCTCATTCATAATTTGATATTTTTATTTTGTTAACATTGTTCCTACACATCTTTCCTTTCAGTCAGTTTGATTTTTAAAATGTAGACCATTTGCACATTTTTGGTACTCAGCTTTTAAAAACTGTTGAATCAATAAATAAATACTGTTGTTTCTAATGTACATACCATCTACTTATAAATAGCATTTTAAAGCAATCTTTTAAAAGTTTAAGATGTCATACGTAATATTACATGTTAATTTCAGAACCTTAAGAAATAAAAAATGATCACATGGAAAAGAAAACAATACTGTTTCATTTTTAGCTGAATTGAGTGCATATTGTAATAATAGATACTGCCTCACTGAATGATTTTTCTCTTATATGTAAATACATGGTTGAAGAATCAAAATTTCAAATAAGAACTTGCATTAATATTATCAGTGACAGAGTCTTATCTATTCTTGTATTCTATGTGGTGTTGCCAACTTAAAAAGAAAACTTGTAAAAATTCTGAATTACTATCTGATCATTAACAGTCAGTTTTGTTAATGGCAACAATTTACAGATCAATACATCTGGGGGTTTTTTTAGAGTCCATTTAAATATAAAGTCATCTACGTTTAACTTTAGTAGGAAAATATATATACACACTGAAAGAGAAAAATAGAATAAATAATAGTAAAGGCAAAATGTTACCTTGTATATAGTTAACATTTGTCAAATTATAACTGAAAATGTAGCTGTCATCAAAGAAATTGAAATGAATAGAAAGCTAAAGTTGGAGCAAGAACTAACATGAAAAAAATGAAAGAATAAATATCATATTTATGAATTAGAATTATATTGTCTTATCCCCAAGGCAAATTCATTTATTTAATAAGCAGTAATCAGTAATCTTTTCTGTATCGGGGCCAGTTTCCACATTAATAAAAATACAATGTTGCATTTATTCTCAGTTATTTGTTTTTGATAGTTATATACTTTTTGGGTCAGAAAATACTGTATCTTTAGTATGAATAAGCATTCTTTTATTGCAATATCCATCTCTGAGTAGATTGTTTTTTGGCTGAAGTTTCAGAAATTAACGAAATAACACCCTAATACAATTATATATGATATGATTATAATGGTGCATTTGAATGAGTCTTGGTCTTGAACAAAACACTTTGTGTTTATTCAGTTTATTTGGTCTTGTCTCAACTGTTTTTTAAGTTACTGGTAAAGTGCTGTTTCATTTTCTCTTAACATTCTATTTTATAACAAAAAGTTTTATTTCAATTGCAAATGAGAGCCTTTTCTACAAACACAACTTCTTGGACCACTTAGAAATAATGTGAGCTTTGTCATTCATTTACTTATTTTTTGCTACCAACTATGCTAAGAATTTAAACTTTATATGAAAAATATTTACCCCAGTCCCACTACATATTTATTATCCCTTTTTTTTTTTCTTGTTTCTGAGGCTGTTGGTGAGAACTCATAACCAGCAAGGAAAACCAACTGACCTATCCTCCATCTGTCAGATACTGTCTCTTGAGTAGAGGAGCAGAGCATGAGGCTACAGAGAACAGAGATGTGCTGGGTCTAGGCAGGCTCTCTCTGGGCCTGTCCTTTCCCTTCTGTAAAATGAGAGAGGTGTTAAAATTTAATTACAAATACTTTGGAATCTAGTGCATTTTCATTTGGTCTGGATGCTTCTAATTGTTTATAACTGATCTAGAGTGAGATAAGTCATGATTAAAGCAATTAATGCCTACAGATAAATGAAAATGTTCTAAGTTTAAAAATTTTTTATATGATGTTTCACAGCCAGAATAAAAATAATACATGTGATAAGGACATAAAGCTAACATACTAATAGCATAAAAATAAACCCTAATCTACACATTGATTTTTATAATAGATTTAGTAATTGTTTCCCACTTTATGCCAGGGATTGGTAAGTCATGACATAAATCTGGTCTTGATATATCTTATTTGATACATTTTTTTGAAGTAGAATTCCTTTAAGATTTTCACAGAAATTGTTTTTACTTTGATAACTGTTTGATGATGAAAATGACTACAAATAAAATATCTAATTGTTTTCAGGGTAGAGATAAGTAAATTGGTATTCTTAATATTTGCAATGAAAAGCATTCTCTTCTGATTTATGTTTCAGGGCTGAGGAATTTTCATTTTTGCTTGTTGTAGCTCTAGCAAGCATCTTCTTTTCTGACATGGGCTACAACTAGGGTACCAAATTATAGATCCTTTTGGATATGTGTTTCCAAATTTAATATTTAAAATATTACAATTGGAGATGGATAGAGAGAGAATGGTGGACAAATAGATGTAACCAATAGCATGAGCTGCATGTATCTCCTTCCTTTCCTTTTCATACAAATATCACTATGTTTGGTTGGTTGGTTCTGTTTGGTTTCGTAAAGGGTGTAAGAATTTGGAAAGGTATGGGACGGTGTCCTAGTTGAGGTTTCAGTATTTGCTTATGAGAAAAGAAAAGATCATTTGTTAGGAAAGTCATTTTAGAAATTTGTCTTTGGAGTTTTCCTGTATAATTATACTAGGAATTTCTAAACAACGTAGCAAGAATTTATAGTGGTTTTCAGGATGGTGATTGTTAAACAATAATTGGAAGCTGCAGAAAATAAAACAGTATTTACGTAAAATAGGCATTTAGTCAATGTTTGTTAAACAGAAGGACATTTTACTTGATATCTAAGTGCTTCATCATAATTCAGAAAAGAAAACCCTCCAAACTTTAGCTCTTCCTAGGCCAAGTAAGGGAACTGTTCTTCAAAGCACATTTGTTTATAACTTTTAGAAAAGTTAACAGCAAAAAAGTATATTTAATTTTAAATTTAAAAGCTTTATAAGCCATATAGTTTAAACAAGTAAATAATTTTCTTAATCATTCTCATGTAAATTCTGAGGTGCAAAGCTAGCAAATTCTGAGGTCTAAAGCTTGCATAAAGAGTTGAGCTTTCTGTCATTTTGCATTGTCATCATCACTTTATTGTATTTGTGGAGTGACGAGGTTAGGTGAAGGTAAACAGGAAACAACTGCTTCTCACTTATCTCTGTGGCTTGAAGACACCCTAGCCTCTTTAATACAACAGGCTACCGGGGACCAGCTTGATTTATGTGCTTAGTATAGCTCGCGTTCATCTTAATTCAATTCATTTTATTTATTAGATAAAAGTCACGTCTACTGCGTCAAGATTATGTGTAGCCGTCTTACTTGGGCTGTTCAGTTTAGAGGTGTAAACTTGATGGCAGGTTTCTTAAATATCTGTGTGTTGTTGTTGTTTATTTTTTTTAAAGAGATTTCCCAAAGTTGCAGATGGCTGGCTCATCTCCAAATACCTCTTCAAGGTACTATGCTGGTGATGCCTCCCGCCACTGAGCTGCGCGGGAGCATGGAATTGACTTACTGGGGAGGGCTGTATCAGTTAAGTGATCTTTTTTAGTACATTGCATGGGTTTTACAAAGCTTTCTGTTTTTATTTTTGTTATTCCAGAGGGTACAAGACTGCTAATGCTAATTTTTAGATTAAAATCTTGTTGTACACAATATAATCCATTTACTCTCCTTCCTCTCCCATGTGATTCCCTCTTTTCTATTAAGTTTCATAGTTTTAATCACTATCTTATTAATCATACACATATGTAATTTAATTTATTGTTATAATTAATGATACAAGAATTATTGGTTATTGTCTCAGTTTTGTAAGTGCTGTATGATAATATCTGTGTTATATGCAAACTGGGGGTTAAGGAAGCAGTGTGAATTTTCCAGAGTTGCTCAGAAAAACACACACGAGCTGTATCAACAATAACTGCTTTGTCATTCTTGAACCATTAGTGGGAATATATTCCTTAGTGCCATGTCTCTTAGGTAGACTATATGCCTTTATTCACAACTTTTTAGTTCCTACTGTAAGCAAAACACTGCTAGGCCCCTGTACTTATGACCTAGCCTTTTGTTACACTTTTTAATTAGAAATATATGCATTATCATCATTTTTAAAAATCATAGACAAAAGATAGAAAGTAGAAAATAAATGTCTTCTCCTTTCCTCAGTCCTTGTTCCCACAAGTAATCATTTTAAACAGTTTCTTTTGTTTCATGTTCCCTACGTATATGAAATAAATTACGCTTGCTTGATTTCTTCAGAACTGAACATTTATGCATAGCTCTCTGTATGGACTTCAGCCTTTGGTGCTCTAATTCAATCTGCCAGTATTCTAAGCGTGATGTTAAAAACACTGGTGGAAGAAAACAGAACCTTTGTACTCTGCTTGGAAAGGTGATAAAATCACCAGCATAAAAAAGCTTATTAAGTCAAATTCAATTTTCAGATTTTGGTGAACCTGGTTATTTTAATTTTTTTTATTTTGGAAGATCAGGTATTAACTAATTTTTATGTTATAGATAAATATTTTAGATATTTGTAATTAATTTCTTGCCACTGAGCAAGTCATTAGTTTTCACTAGCAAAGGATAAAAATTACGTTTTATAGATTAGTAACTGTGATTCATAGTTACTAAAGATTTACTTGAGGCATCCTATAAGTAACATACAGAGCTAGCAATATGTAAGTACAATTGAGCATCTAATCTAGACTCTTTAAGCTCCAGCTTAAAATGTAATTAAAGTTGTTTTTAATGTGTTTAAATTTTTTTCATTTTTTAGAACATGATATAAGATTTCATTTAGAAAATTAATCAAGGTCATAATTTTACCTTCAAAGCTAGGTGGTCTAATAAATATGAATCTCTACTGATAATAGTACTTTTTTATTTTTAAAGGAAAAGATACTGACCTCTTACAGGCAATGGGAATTTTCTCTCATAAAAGTATAGTGGAAAATATTAAACTGACTTTTATAAATCAGTAGTATGAAATTTAGGATTTCATAAAGTTTAGGGAGTAAAGTTAAAAATTAAATATCTTAGTTTTAATATATTGACAACAATATGTCCACAAACAACAAATTTCTTTTAAGTATCTGAAAACTTTTGCAGTGATGTCAGAGTGGTTTATTAAAATTTGATGGAACTATCTATCTTTTATTGATTTTCAAGGTAAATAGCTCCAAGGTGATAGTGTTTGATAGGTCATCTAGGTGATGTGTTGTAACTAACTGAATATCAGTTTGTGAGACAAGTTTTTTATTTACTCCTTACTTAGTTGAGCAGTAATCCAAAGGCTGGAGAAAGGAAGTTACAGATTCATTTATTTTATATAATCAGATGTGTCATTAGTCACTACTTAGTAAAAAAACACTTTAGAAAATTTAGTTCCTGTTCTTAGAAACTTACTGTGTGATGCAAATAGATGTCTAATTTAAATAGTACAGAAGAGTAATTTTAGAATAAGAGTGGACCCTACAGACTATAGGCTGTTTTTAGGTGCTACAAAGGCAGTTTGGTGGGAAAGACATCACAGAGCTGATTAGTAACAGATCATCTTTTAGTTTAACAAACTTCTCATCACTTATTTCTGTGTCTGAAATGAATTAGAGTTGGATTGACAGGATGGAAATAAGTTTTGAAAGGTTAACTTTGTCATTGGTCTACTAAGAACACATATAATTGAAAGCATAATATATACCTATTCTAGTCAAGAGCTTTAGAAAGAAAATTCTGTGACAGCATATATTTCTTCTCTAAAATAAAGTTTCTTCAGTTATAGACTAATTAGTTCCTTGCTATGTGATTTCTTTTGTGGTTATTTTTAAAGGAAGTGAGAATACCTTGGGAGTGATTACTTATTACTTCAGTAGTTACTTTTAAAGGCATGATCAGCTTATAGTTTTGTTTTTTAATTTTCCAGTTGAATAGTGGTTACAGACTAATAGTCCAAGTATATCGTTTACTGGCAGTTAATCTGTGTTTAAGTAAAAGTCATGTCCAAATAATAACAAATAGCAAATTGAACAATTCCATAATTTTTAATTAAATTCAACTCTTTTCATAGATACCAAAATTATTAATTATGTAAATAGAATTTTAGGATATAGAGACAATTTACATGAGAATTTGGAGGTCTTAAGAAGGGCATCCACTTTCTTTTAATCAAAACAGATCCTTCTCAGTGTGAAAAATTCAGTGTCTTGAATTAAGAACATCACTGTGGAAATGATGCCTGTGGAAGAGGAGGAAAGGCAGAATCAAGCCAAGTCATCCTCACATCTAGTTTGCTGAGTAGATAAAAGCATTGTGAAGATACCACTGGTTTATTTAAGGCCCTGAAAGCCATGATGATATGTCATTCTGTTAATCACTTAGTTTCTCATTATTTGGGTAATGAGTATCTGGGAAATCTTGTCATTATCTCATGATATCTATAAAAGTCTTGTAGATACCATATCTTCTTAAAAGCAGGAGTCCTAAGGATTTAGTGCCCATTGCTTCTCTGTTTAACCTAAGAGTAGATTTTTAGTTTCTGTATGTTTCCTCTCCTCCAAAATTGGGGCTTTGTTATATTCTTTTGGTTTTTTTCAATAGCTCTATTTTAAAACTTCTCATAAATTACTGGCCTTAGCATGTCAGGTTTCATGAGAAGATTTAAAATAAAGTCAAACAGAAACCATGTGATGTTCCTTTTCTTTAAAATCTCTGTCAGTGTTTAGTGCCCCATTTTTTGAGGGAAGTCAGGGAGCTGTGCCTCTCATTTTTAAAGTATGGAATGATCCCAATTAATAGAAGCCAAGGAAAATTAGTTGAGACTAGAAATGCCTTGGGGAGGTAAATGTGGAATAGTTGATATCAGAAAAGTTTGGTTTAGGGAGTAAATTTTAAGGATTTTTCTAGATTTTAAGCTAGTAGTGACAAAAACTTAATTTTGTATCTCATTCCCACTTTGTAGTGCAGAGGGTACTTGGGTCTCTTAATTATTTGTATGACAATTATAATAACATTAGTAATAACTGTTAACACCTGTACTAGGCTGTGTACTAATTGCTGCATATACATTATCTCATCTAATCCTTTCAACAGTATTATCAAGTAGGTACTACCATTATTGTCAATTTATAGCAGAAACCCAGACTTAGAGTGAAATTCAGTCACTTGATCAAGATCACATAGCTAGAAAGTAATCTAATTCAGGTCCACCTGACTCAGAAGCTGATATTCTTAGCCACTAGGCATCCTGCCTCATCTCCAAATGACTAACAAATTGGTGACATGAAAATTTCCCCAAAGACAAACTGTACTGTGATACTGTACTAAGAACTTTTTTAACTCAGAGAGGGGGCAAAGGAAAGTCATGGGGAGAAATTGAGAGGAAGAAGGGAGATTGTAAATATTCCTATAGATTTCTACATGTAGGTAGTAAGATTTGATTTTTAAAGATACATGGAGTATAGATATTAGAGTAAGGATTTGTAGATGCTTTTGTATTTTTATATATAAAGGTAAATATATTTATTTGCCCAGAATATTTGAGATTTGTATTATAGCATGTAAACATCCTAATTCCAAATTGTTAATTGAAACATTATTTTCATATGAAAAGATACTAGATTTAAAAAATTTTATATGCATTGCAGTTAAGATCTGTTTTTTGCCAATTTCCCAATTGATTTGTTTAACAAATATTGAATACCTGCTGTGAGTCAAGCATGGTGTCAAATGTTGGAGATTGATTTAAAGACAAATAAGACACAATCCCTACCTTAGTGATCTTATCACCTAATATGTGAGACAATCAAGTAAACATAAGGTACACTCAAAAGAACAGTTGCTTATGAACAGACACATACTTACCGAAATCTGAAAAATTAGAATGGTTAATGCCTGAAAGGCTTTTCATGGATAGTGACTACAAGAGAGCAGATGAACTTATAGATGAGAATGGTTGGGTAGAAAATTATGAATGATCAGTGGGTGTAAGATTTTACTTGATCATGTTTACTTATAGGATAGACTACACATTGTTTCATTCCTTTGATTTACCCTATGATGAGGAGAAAAAAGGGTTATGTTATTTTTTCTTTTTAAAGAAGAGAAAGCTTTAGAATGTAACTTGACATTGAATTCAATGCTTAATTAGAACTACAGGGAGAGTTTTCTGTGTGCTAAGACTGCTTGAATAATAGGATATTAAACTACAAGAAACTCTTTTCTGTTCTGTCCTTTTATTAATTTTATTTGTTTGATTTTATTGTTGAGAAAACTTTGATCCAGGTCCATTAAAAAAATTGTCTAATGTAATACTACTAGTTAGAGGTAGAACAGGAGGGGATTTAAGGCTTTTTGACAGAGATCAGTGCCCTTTCTACTATAGCACACTATGCTGCCTTTATTTTTCAGTATTTTATTGTTCTTATATTTTGAATTTGCTAGTCTAGTTTTCTTTTATTTTGTATTAAAATTTGTCTCCTGAAGGTCAAGTAACCTGGTTTGGTTATGAAAGTCCTCGTAGCTTCTGGGACTATATCAGAGTGGCTTGCCGGAAAGTTTCACAGAATTGTATCTGCAGCATTGAAAATATGGAAAATATCAGTTCCTCTAGAGCTAAGGTAAGACATGATAATAATATGCAATGTATATAATCTAATCCTCAACTGTTTTGACCCAAGTAGAAGACTTTGAGCTTTTTGCTGTATAAAATATTTTTTTCTTTGTTGAGGTTAAGTACTTGACTAAATTTAACATCTTTCAGAGGCTTGTTTCCATTTTTTTAATAACTGCATGTAGTTATTTTAGAATGCCCTTGTTTTCACTGTTGCCTTATGAATAGCAGGAATGTATGAAACCAGTCACTATGAATTTCCTTTTTGAGAAGCACAGTAAAGTATTTCCTATTCTATGAAGTTTCTACATTTCTTGAATTGTCTAAATCAGTGGCTCTCAGTGTCTTATAAAATCCTGAGAATCCTTAATGTCAAAACTATTTTCATATAGTACCAAGATGTTATTTTCCATTTGTATTTTTGAGTGCCATCTTTTTAATAACCTGAGTGATAAAATTAGAAGTACACATAAAGCATTTCTGCAGCATATTGAAATAGTATCTCAAGGAACAGTACTCATCAATTAGTTATAAGCTGAATTAGACACTGTCATACTTTTGTAATACTATTTTGAATTAGAAAAACATACATAGTTTTTTAGACTTAATCATTTGGTAGATATTTCTTGGATAAAAATGAAGTGAGCTTGTCATTTCAAGGAAAACAGCTGACAGTATTTGCTGACAATGGTAACATTAAAAATTAGAATTTTGGCAAACTTATATTCACTATCCTAAGCTTAATAGCTTACCAGCACTTACAGACTTTTCTGGTAACATTGATGTTGCTATTAACAAATGTATCTTTTAATTGTTTGATGAAATGTGTCAATATTTGGTAGACCTTCTTAACTCAAATTTTCCAAGTGACCAGTGCATGGAATTATAAAATCATGAGCGGGTAAAAGATCCATTCCAAGTACAAGACAGACCAGTGGATTTAATGTAATACAGTATGAAAAGTTCATTGATATGTTTATAGATTCCGTGTTGCGTCTAACTGTTAAGAGATGATCACTTACTGGTTTTGATGTAGAATCTAAGGAAGATATTCACAATTATCTTAGAGGCTATTAAAAAATTCCTTTTTCTAACTATGTATCTTGTTGAAGCTAGATTTTCTTCATATGTTTCAACCAAAGCAATACATTATAAACACTTAATGAAGAAATGGATATCTAATTCTCCTTTATTAAGCCATATATAAAAGAGATTTGAAAAAATGTAGAACAAAGCCACTTTTCTTACTTACATTTTTGTTTAGGAAAAGATAGTTATTATTTTATTAAAATATTTATGTTAACATAAAACAGGTTTTTTTAATTACCTATATTTTAAAACTTTCTGATTTCGATTTGTAAGAAAGTGAATATTGATAGATATAACCTAAATAAAAGCTCTTTGAGTCCTCAATAATTTTTTTAAATTACGATATCATTGATATACACTCTTATGAAGGTTTCACATGAAAAACATTGTGGTTACTACATTCACCCATGTTATCAAGTCCTCCCATACCCCACTGAAGTCACTGTCCATCCATGTAGTAAAATACCACAGAGTCACTACTTGTCTTCTCTGTGCTACACTGTCTTCCCGGTGACCCCATACACACCATGGGTACTAATCATAATACCCCTCAATCCCCTTCTCCCTCCCTCCCCACTGGCCCTCCCACACCCCTCCCCTTTGGTAACTGCTAGTCCCTTCTTGGAGTCTGTGAGTCTGCTGCTGTTTTGCTACTTCAGTTTTGCTTTGTTGTTATACTCCACAAATGAGGAAAATCATTTGGTACCTGTCTTTCTCTCCCTGGCTTATTTCACTGAGCATAATACCTTCCAGCTCCATCTATGTTGTTGCAAATGGTACGATTTGTTTTCTTCTTATGGTTGAATAGTATTCCATTGTGTATTTGTACCACCCCTTCTTTATCCATTCATCTACTGATGAACACTTAGGTTGCTTCCATATCTTGGCTGTTGTAAATAGTGCTGCAGTAAACAAAGGGATGCATATGTCTTTTTGAATCTGGGAACTTGTTTTCTTTGGGTAAATTCCTAGAGGTGGAATTCCTGAGTCAAATGGTGTTTCTATTTTTAGGTTTTTTGAGGAACTGTCATATTTCTTTCCACAATGATTGAAGTAACTTACATTCCCACCAGCAGTGTAGGAGGGTTCCCCTGGAGTCCTCAATAATTTTTAAGATCATTAAAAAGTCTGAGCTGCTATTACAAGGAATTTAGGAGTTTTATTTATTTAGTTTTTGGATTGTCATAGTAACTTCCCTTATTCTTTTTGACACTTAAGAGTTGCAGAATGAAGAATAAGTAGAAAATAAAGATTGAAAACAGGTATGCAGTTTTTTAAGATCAAGATATAATTCAATCCATGATTTCACAATTATAAACTTATAAATTACATGTCTGTATAATAAATAAAAATATAAAAATCATCTTTCAAAATTGTTATTTCTAAGTTTATTATTCCTGTATCCATTTTTATATTTAGGGTTTTTTTTTTCTTTTGGAAAATTTCTGGCTAGCAAAATTGACAAATATATATTGAAATTAAAGATTTCATAAAATATGAACTGGACATCAAAGTTTTAAAAACAATATTTCTAATTAAGTTCAGTGAAATAATCAGAAACATAAACATTTGAAATTTATTATATGTAAGTGTATTTTTAGACAAAGCTGATATCTGTAATTTTTGTCACCTTTTGAAGACTGGAGCTTTGGAGTTCACACTCTAAAGCTGCCCCTCCCTCCTTCACTGCCTCCTACCATTCTCCAGCAGAGGGGCTGTCTGAGTGACAGTGAGCTCTCTGCTTCAGTATCTTCTAACTCTTTTAGATTGACTCAGTTTTCTTCTCTGCCTCACATACTTTTTAAGCCAATAAAAGTCTTCATTTTTAAGTCAAATATGAGCTAGATTTTTTTAAATTACATTTTTTTCTTATGGATGTTTAAATCTTGATTTTTATTGTATGTTAACAGCTTTCTTTTTAGTCACAAGTATTGTCTTAGTAGTCCTTTGGCCTACATTTTCTCAAAAGTACTGAATTTTTAAATTTACTTTCAAATTCACTGGCTATAGTCTTTAAAAATGTACAGTTTGAATTCTCCTTTGCATCTTAGTGAATTTGTATCTTTTTGTCTCATGTTTTCTTTATAGTTTAAGAGTAATTTCTTGGTCTGTAGGTTAAGATTAAAAGATTAGCTGTAATTTGAATGAATCAAGTCTGTACGATAGAAACTACCTCCCAAAATAGAAAAGGTAATTGAGAAGTTAACTAATATAAATATAGTATTTGGACTAAAGAAACCCAAACCCTAATGACCCAGGACTAGGCCCTGCACAGCAATATGCTGCCCAGCAGAGTTAATATTTATTCTATTAAAAAAAAAAAAACAGTGTTGAATATCGCAAAATACCAAAGAACAATCATGTTCCAGTCCTACATTTGTATCTTTGTTTTGGTCAGGCCTCAAATGGATTCCACATAGTGAGAAAAAGAGATCTGTGATTTGCCTGGTTATGCTGGGAAAAGTCAGTTAGCGAAGGTGATTACCTCTATCTTTATTACGGTGGGAAGACCAAATACTTAGTCTACTCTGTTAAATCACACCTGCCAAGTGCAGGGTTGCAGGATTAAATACTCAGATGGGAGATTTATTGAGCCTTTGAGCTCCTGCCTGGAGTAACTACTAGCATATGTGGCATTCTCATCGAACCTTGATACTATGAAAACATAGAATGGAAGCACCAAATTTGCCTCCTAAACAGTGTGCAGTTCAGTACACGTGGGACCAAAACAGTTAGATCTTCATCTTTTATTTCTATAGAGAAAGCCAGATTCAGTCTGATTACACTTTGAGGGTTATATGGACAACATTTTAAGCAGTGGAAGACAAGATGCACTGTGGAGCAATGACTAATTCAGTATAGAAACATTCTTTAAATTTACTCAAGTTGCTAGAGTCAGGTTTACTTGTGTCCTAGTGCCACTGTTGTAGAAGCTTGCCACCATGGGAGGTCTGATAACCTAGTCACTGTATGCTAAGGTCTATGAAGTGCTAACAGTTCTCTTTCTTTGTTTATTAGTCTGTGACGAATTGTGCCAATTTTTCAGGGCCTAAACATAGCGTAATAATAGAATAGAATATTCAAATTGAAGGTCATGATGTAATCTTTCCATCTCAGGTGTATTTGCAGCTAGTCTTTCTACAATGTGCAGGTGTTCTGGGATATGAGATTTCCATACATCGACTGACTTAGGTTTCAGACTAGAATTAGCTCTCTTAGGAAAATACCTTCATCTCAACAGGCACTTATTTCACTCTTTTCTGAACTCACCCATCATCCCCATCTACCATTGGGCTGATTACTTATAATATATGATCTCTGACAGAGACTTCCCACTGGGTCCTTAGTTACTACTGTTACTGATGTTGCAGGTAATTTTGCATGGGATTTTCTTAGTATTCCATCTCATTTTAAGCTCAAGAAATCCTTTTTTGCTTTTTTTTTTTTTTTTATCTTGTGTTTAGGTTTTTTTTTTTTCTTTTTCTATGTCTTTAAGAATAGTTCTTTTTTTTTAAGTTCTTGTTTTTGGCTAAGTTAGGCTTTCCTAGTTTGTAGTTGCTTACCCTGTACATTCCTTCTGTTACTGAATTTAACATATTAGAACAGTTTGTGAATATACTAGTCATGTTAACCATTCATATATCCATGCATCCTTCTAATAAAATTTTAATTGAGTACTTATACCATGTCAGAATATAAATGTAGTCCTTAACACATTCTTATGACAGTAAATCTCTAATCCTTCCTAAGCTTTCTTGGTTTCATTGTCTTGTTTATTTTTTCCCTTATTTGGAAGCTGGCTCTGTCTGTTCTTTCCCAGAGGCAGTTTAGCCAAATTTTCTACTGAAAGGAGCAGAGGCAGAGAGGGTATTAATCACAGATACCGCAGAGATACCAAACAGTAGAACTTTACAATAA